CATGAAAATTTATTTTTTGTACTGAAAGCATGTCCACAATTATTAAATTTTCAACTTTATATGTATAAAACACCCGAATATAAAATAAAATGAAATAGAGGTGGGGTTAATATCTTTTTAACTTCTTTCCCTAACTTTTAACAAAAAAAATCTTTTAACATAAAATAAGTATTCCTAAAAAATGATTTACTCAAGTTACACAACTTGTGATACACATGGCATCACAATAAGTTAAGTTTTCTCCCTTCGTTAGAATTGGGTATTCTATAATCATATCATGAACACTTACCACACATGAGGACAACAAATATTAACTACTTTTCTTATTAAAACGCATGAACGTAGTCTATATGAGCATACAGTGTAGGATACTGGTTCCTCTCTAAAAGTGTGATCGAATGTGACTGAATTAATTTTTTATAATTATAACCTAGTGTGGTTTTCCTTCATCAACATGTGATAGCAATGAGATAAAAATAGATAATAATTATTTCAATATAACACTTTTTGATTGCTTTTCGGTTTATACAACAAAAAGGAGAAAAATTTTACAGATGTGACCCCTTCCCGGTTAATGACCTTGTCCATACCATACGACACAGGCAGCCGAAACTGTACTGGCTCAACTTAGACAGAGATATATTCTCGTATCAATTATAAATACAGTAATTTCTAATATGTGGACCAAATTCAACTCTACTCCTCAAGACGTATTCTAACTCTATTAACCGAACCCTCATAACATACCAATTTAAATTCTATTAGCCGACTTTAGTGGCTTCGCACCATCGAAGTGACTAAATTCTTTCACTTTGACTTATACTTTCTAATTCCTCCCCTGTCTATACCTATTTCACTTATTATCTGCATAAACATTATCCCTTAATTTTGCAACTATAACATCTCACCTCATGTATACTGTTTCTGTTCGTCTGCAAATACATCCACTATATTATGTTATAATAAAATAATAAAAACAGAATTTAACACTTATAGCACTTATAATAAATAAGATCATGCCAAAATTTTATGTTAATATTATTTTATGTTTTAGGTTACATTGGCATGCGAAGGTCAAACATGCAAAGCTCATAAAATGGTACTTTCAGCATGCAGCCCTTACTTTAAGGCGCTCTTGGAGGTAATTAAAAATATATTTGTTAATATTAGAACACGTATTTATTTAGTTATTTTCTCTATTAATTTTAGGAGAATCCCTCTAAGCATCCAATAATTATACTTAAAGATGTTTCGTATATTCATCTGCAAGCTATTCTCGAATTTATGTATGCCGGTGAAGTTAATGTATCCCAAGAGCAGTTACCAGCATTTTTAAAAACTGCTGACAGGCTGAAAGTTAAAGGCTTAGCAGAAACTCCTAGTTCTATAAAGCGGGAGGGTTGATTAAAATACAATGTAACATTAAGAATTTTTAAAATGCAACAAACAGTAAAATCGTGTTATTTTTAATTTCAATAATCATTCATAGAAAAATTAGTATACAAATTCTTATCTCTGTACATATATATCTACATAATTATATACCTTTATAAGTATGCAGATATATATAACTTAAATTTTTTAAACATCTCGACTTGACTTGACGTATATTTTTATTAAGTATAGAAGTTAATTGATATCTAATGTAAAGCGATGTTACATTTTAAATATAACTTGAAGACATATTTTGAGCTATGTCCAACTAACTATATACTTGTATACTCAAAATATTACCTTCTTCTTGTGTCACAATTTATATCTTTATATCGCATTATGTCTTTACTCCTTCAGATTTTGTAATATTTACATTTCAACTAATCAGTTGGATAACTTTCATACAAGTGCAAAAATAAAAGATAAATCTAAGAAATATATATTCTTAAAAGCATCCAATGTTGATTGATCTTATTTAAAAATATGCCACATTATGAACGCATTATTGATGTTTACAATATTCCAATATTTAGTTTATTATTTGCTTTTTATTTATTATTCATTTAAATATGACATAAATTGTGAATTTTATAGTTGTAAATTAAAAGAATATGTAAAATAAAATTTCATTTTAGTATTAGAATTAAAAACATAATTGTAGTTACAGTTGAAGAAAAATCTACATTAATTACCATTATTTACTTAATATATGTTGTAAAATACTTTTCCTTTAAGTTGCATTAATTTGCAATTCTGACTATCTTTAGTTAGCCTTAAAATATATAAACATTTATACATATGAACGTTATACATATATATAAAAACATATATATTTATATAAATATATATATTTTTTTTTTCTTTTCTTTTCAATAGACTTAAGAATTCTATTTAAATCACTTAACATCAAAATATCATTTTTATTTTTATTTCACAGATCGCTATATAAAATGAGTGTTTTAAAGTAGTTATAAGACTCTACATTTTAAAAATTTTTATGCTAATTAAATAATACATATGTATGTAAAAATATATATATAATTAAATAATAAAAATTACAAAATCAAAAGGATTTTTGCTGCAAGTTACTTAAAAATGAATTTTTGAGTAAATTTTATGATAGAACTGATTGGAATAAAATACAATAGAATTGAATAGATTAGAAATAAACAGGGTACCGTCTCCTAACGGAGCGGAACACTGCGACCAGTGTTCTGTAGCTGTGCTGCTACAGCCCCTTACCGAACAGAAGACATTCCGATCGTCGAATGAAAGTCAAAATGTTGATGATAAAAAATGTTTAAAAGCAGTTTAAAAAGAGAGCTTCATTTATTTTAAGTGAAATATATTTTTGAAAAACGTATATATTATGTTATTTATACTGTAATATATATAGATATTACATTGGGTTAGGGTGATGGTCAAGCTCCCTTGAGCTCTAATGATGCTTTGTCGTGATACTACGGGTTACCATTGTTTATAACATACATAGACCGAAGGAATCTGCAAAAGGATCGCAGTTGTTAGCGTACAAAGAACTCTAAAAGGCACGACACCCAATTTAATGAAAGTGAATCAACCTTTTAGGTGTATAAATTTGGCTAAATTCCTAAATTTATATGATGACAGTTTTGTCAGGTCGGCAAGAAAAGGTGCCCAAAGATTTTTAAACTTCAGTTCGCTAAACATTGGCATTAACTAAGAAGGTGAAGTACGAGTTTCTCTTCAGAGCCAGAACCACAAGTCGTTATAAGGTAGACCTAGTATTGTAACATATCTATCAAATATGTATGTATCGGACTGTTTGTAGCAATACCTCAGATTCCGCTTACGTTGAAGGAGCGTAATGTTTCTTGCCTAGTTTGGTTCGAGTAGATTTTGAAATATGATGGGATCTCAATTGCCAGCTAAGCAAACATTAAGTTTGCCTTGAAAAGTTTGTCTACCTTGAAAAGTTTGTCTGCCTTGCAGTTATCTAAGATATCTCTGTTTTCAGGTACGCATGTTAGTTGGACACTGGTATGCTAAGCTAGCTCATTAAAACAAACTCGAAATATTAAGGATGTAGTTGGAACGCTTACCAGAGATTTGATTGCAGCTTGGTTATTACTTGAAATACTAAGGATGTAGTTACAACACTTACCAGAGATTTGATAGCAGCTTGGTTATTCGAGAAGATAAATGTACGTTATGATCACCCGATAGGGAGGGTACATGTTTACAAAAAGTAAAGTGTTTTCAACATTTATGTCGTATTTAAAGTATAATGCTTGCGTTTGCGTACGTGTGCATATACTTTTATAATTTGATTTCGTGTTCTCTACATGTACAATAAGAGTTGATAATGTACTATTTGGTTTCATTCGGAGTAGCAATCTGCACTAACTATCTAAGCAAAAGAAAAGTTAACTAGCGTATTAATATGAAACATAGTAAAAAACTCTGACATGACGGCTTTATAACGAAAATTGAATCAAGAAATCACGCATTTGTACCCAAGTGGAACTATATGGATAATACTATAATACACACATAAAATAAAATAGTCATCCTAAATTTTTGAAAAAGTCAGTCATCGATCGCTTTTCAGCTTCTTATGTCATATTATAGTATACTATAATATAAAGCATATTAAATAAGAAGATTCTATACCGATCAGATAATTGTATATATGAATTACTGATACAATCACTGTAAAATATAAATTGAACTAACCCAATTCTAGGTAAGAATACAAACATAATAAAAAAGTAATACTGCAGTTGCAAACATGCAATCTACCTCTAAATATGGACTACTCTTATATATTAGATAAATTTCTGTTGTCCGAGAATACATATATAAAGCGGTAGTTATATTTTTAAATTTCCGATGAAGATTTAATTTTTTAAATCAAATAAAAAAATATTTTCCCCATCGGTGTAGGACTATTGAAACTAACTTGACAGAAACTAAACATTATTTCGTGATTAATATCTTATAATATATATATTTATTATACGTATTAGTATAAATAATATATATTATTTGTTATATATATTAGAGTATATATTACATATTATTTGTTTTATATATTAGTAAATGTTATATATTATTTATTATACATAATAGTAAATAATATATATTATTTATTATACATATTAGTAAAAAATATGTATTATTTATTATACATATTAGTAAATTATATATATTATGTGTTATGTATTTTAGTAAAAAATACATGTAATTTATTATACATGAATATTATTTACTTTATATATTTTATTTTATATCAATTACATATATTTTAATTTAAATATTATAAAAAGGTGAAGCTATTTTTATATACACATCCATATTTCCCTAGAACAACAAAGTTGTGTTCTTTTCCAGTATTAAATCATTTTTGTTGGCTATATAACTACACAACTCAACTCATGGACTATGCTGCTCTGTCAATAAAAATAAGTTGCAGTTTAATGCTATTTTTATAAAAACAGTTTTTGATTATTATTAATTTGTAACAAATTTTTTTTTTAACAATAAATTATGATTTTATAAATTACTAATTGTATAATATTGACTATATATAGACATTTAGTATTGCTTTCTTATTATATTATTGTTTAACAAATTGTTCTAAAAATTACACACTAAGAGATAAAAACATTATTAAAATATCAATTATATAAAAAAAATATAATGTAAATGTAAGGAACTGTGTACATTATCCATTCCAACACAGCGCATTTCTGGTATTTAAATCAAATGGATCGGTTCTCATTTTTTTTTGATTTTCTTCAACGCATTTATCTATATTCGAAACGATTTGTGAAGGTCCCTCAGATGTTGTTTCGATCGGTCCCCATAATTTTATATCATGTTCAATTCCACTAGTAGCCAATAAACAAATTTCTGGATGTGGTTGTACACAGTTTACAATAGCTCTATCAGCTTTGTAAATAGCCTGTATATTACCAGTATTGCGTTCCCAAATAAAAAAATTTCCATCATCTGATCCAGCAACAATAAATTTTCCATCCTTTCCTAAATAATTTGCTTCCTTTATATCTGTAGTGGTGTTACAATGGCCTACAAACCGAGTTTTGTAATCCTTAGCTTTATTACGCCATAAGAATTCATTTTCTGACAATTCCAATAAGTTGTAACCCTCAGTAGCTTGTTGATGTGATTGAGTGGTTTGTTGCATTTCGTTTATATCTTTGCTAAGCATTAAAACTCCATGATTGTTAGCATAACTAGGAAATCGGTGAATTAATTCTCTAACACATTCTTCAGCTTCTTGTGGACGACCTAATTCCAGTAAAGCACGTGCAAGGCGAAAATGTGCTTTTATATAACTAGGATCAAGACTAAGAGCTTGATGACAATCACGTAACGCAGCGTAAACATCACCATACCATAACCGACGCATATATGCTGTAGCACGATTTAAATACAGAACTGAAGAATTTGGTGCTTTAGCTATTGCATCAGTGTATCTATTAATTGCCTGTAAATATTTTTCATTCTCAAGCAGTTCGTTTCCCATTTTTTTATATGTTTCTATATGCTCAGGTAACTTACGACGTTTAGAGTAATTTGTAGTAGAACAGTTTCTACAGTTGCTATCACTACTATAATTAATATCCATATCCATATCTGAACTTACATATTCAGGCAAATTCAGAAATATAGGCGCTTCAGCATTTAATAAGTCATAAATATAAATGTGATCTCCGCCCATATTAACCAATAACTCTGTACCAAGCGCATTATAGGTGAGGTAGGTAATTGCACGAGATTCATGATCAATAAATTTAGAGTTATTTTTTTGAATATGACCAGGACAGTAATAACTAACACAATTTATAGGTATATTGTAAATTCCAGTGCCTATAACGAAAAAAAAAACCAGAGAAATTGAAAGAAAATGCATGATAAACAAATTTTTTATAATATTAAAAATTGTGCAATATATATTAATGAATTGAAAACTCCAGTAATTAACATAAATTTTGTTATAACTTTGGGGTCAATATATTATCTTAAATAAATAAGATGCTACTGTTATAGCCCGCAGGGATGTGCTTCTGTAATCACTTTTGGGTGTTGCGAACGGCACTTGGTCCTCGAACTTGACAAGTGGCTTCGGGACGTAGACCCGGCCGTTCTTGAAACCTGAACTTTCTATCTTAAATAGGTTAGGTTATAACAACGACCAATTTAGGCCTATTGCCTCATTTTGGTACAAAATAAACTGGAATCTTTCATAACACTTTATAGTTTTTTGTCTATTATATTAAAATATTTAACCTCGGAAAAACGTAAATAAATTTGTGAAATCTCAACCAATACTAATAAAATGTATGAGTAAAGATTTTCAAGAAGACGGTATTCTTGTCAACTTGATACGTATTTCTCATATTTAATTTCTGAGTCTATAGTACAAAGAAAACAACAAATAAAAACATATGCATTCAAATAAATTAAATTGTTAAGAATTATATTTCACAGAATAGTTTTTAAGACGAGACGAAATTTGTTTTTATTATTTAGTATTTATTAGTACTATTAGATTAGAATAGTTATGATATCTGATTTGCTTCAAATTCTTTGAATATTGAAACAATCCAGATACTTTGAAGTATCTGAGTAATTTGAATAATGTCTATTATGTGATTGCTTGGCTACTTTTAAATGAAGTTATAATTCTCATATAATTTCAAGGTATTGTTATTTATAAATGGCTATGAGTGAACAATTTTTCCTATATAAGTATACGTTTGATATGTTAAAATAAATTTGGCGAACTCTTCTTTCTAAAATTTTTATATATAACATTATTATGAATAATTCAAGCATTTAGTGTAAGAGTTCAAAAAAGTTGCAAAAGTTGTTTGTGAGTTTTAAGTAAATGGGGCAGTGTAATGACAATAGGTATTATGCTTTTTATAAACAACTACAACTAGAAGTACTTATGAAGTACTAAAATTATGATTATAATATATATAATTTAACGAAATACTCCTCAACTCATACTATTAGTTTTAGTTATTTGCAATTTGATATGTAAAACATTTCGTGTATTTCCAACTACAATTGACTTCTAAGTATTATTATTATAGTAATAATATTTTAAATAATATGAGAACTTAACACCATTAAACTTTAAACCTATTTAGATATATCTATAATACATACAGAATTTAAACTGTATTCGATATATTTGGTAAAGGAACATATAGAAATAATCATTATGAATATTATAATTTTTTTTTCTTATTATATAAATTTATATATATAATATAATATATTATATGTATAATATTTTCCAGATTTTGCGCTTTATCTATTTATATATACATATATGTAAAAAATTAAATACTTTAAATACTTTTCCATCAAAATAAATGTATAATTACCCGTGCTGGTGCTACTTAAGAAACGTATCATTCTTCTGTCGTATATCCGTGCATAAGGATCATTAGCACCCACTGCTAGAAATTCTGTACGTAAGGGATTTATTGCCAAACATTTCGCTTCTGCATTTGCATCTATATATGTTCCTAAGTTAATTAAATGGTTAGAACTGTCAGATGTTTGGCATCTATGTCGTTCACGTAAGTCCAGTTGTAGAATGGCACCGTCTTCTCCAGCTGACCAAAATACTTTTGGTGAGTCAGGAGCCGTAGCAAGGCGTTTAACACGAGCCATATGACAATTACAACTTAATATTGGTTCAGTGTGATTGTTAATATCAAAAACATATATAAATTTATCAGCTGCTCCTGTTGCTACAATTGAATCATTTTGTTGCGGCAAGAATTTAACAGAAAACATATTACCGCAATGCTTTGTTTTGATATTAAGCACAGCTACAGACTTAAAAGCATCCCATATTATAACTTTAAAATCATCTGAACCAGAAGCAAGGAATCTTGAATTATGACTCCATTCAAGACAATTAACACAGCCTTCATGGCCTTTAAGTAAGGCTATTTTTTCCAATCGATTTATGAAAGCTGATGAAAATTGATGTTTTCTTTGCATTAGCCAATCGGTGCTACCATACTCCCGATCCTGAATTAAAGATGCTACATTATATTTTTCTGTGTTAAAGCTTTTTAAATTTGACATCTTGCAATCTAAACATTAAATTTATTAAAAAAAAAAATTGTTATAATTTATTTAAATACCTTCAAAATCGAGGCAAATGCTAATTAAAGTTAAAATCAATTATGGTAAAATGAATCCCTTTTATATGAAATACTATACGCATTGTTAACGAATTTTTCATTAATTATATTATATGCTCTATGCTATTATTAAGCATATCACTAATTTTATGACAATTATTTCAATAAATTTTTAACGTCAAAAATTGTTTTCAATAACAAACTACAAATAAGTCTTGCCATTATATCAAAATTCTTTTGTTTCAAACAAAAATTTGAACAAACATGAGTGATGCATTTATATTCGAAGCAGTAATGGTTATGGTACAGTGGTTGTTTTACATGTTTAAATTATATGCTTATATAATTTAATATATATGTATATATATATTTATATATTTTAAACAAAAAATATATATAGAACATAAAATACAAACAGAATCACAAACTGAAGCGCTAACAACTGTATATTTTACTTTTGCTAACAAGTATCTTTACAATAATGGTTTTGAAAGTTAAGTTGGATAGAAATTGTTGTGTCTCTAGAAGATCTAACTCAATTGCAACTCCTTGCTTTGAAAAGCATGTTATACTAGATTCACTCGAGAGTTTTGTTTGTAATTTTAGCTGTCAAAAGTTTTCAATTTGTATGGAAAGCAATAACATTTGACAGCTAAAATTACAAATAAAACTCTCAAGTGATTCCAGTATTACATTTTATTAAAAGTCTGAAATAGTTTTGAACCTTTGCGGTTTACATCAAAAAGATCACACCATTATCATTATAACAAACATTTATATATATTCATTATTGCTTATTTTTATTTAACTGAATTTTTAAATGTTCTGTCTTTATTTTATTATTGTTTATTTATTTTACAAAAAAATCAAGTATTTTATTTAACCTATAATTACTAGAACGTTTTAAAGAATATGTATGTGGTATGTGTATGTTTTTAAAAGTTTATTATAAAATAATGTATTTACCCACTATTTATTTGTTTAAATAAAATCACAAAATTTTTTAAAATACCTAAAACATTAACACAATATGTTTATTCCGTTAATATGAACTTATTAAACAATTTTCAATTCAAAATTTAGGTTGTACACTATTTATTTCGGATTCATGTATTTATGCTTTTAACAACCCTGATTAGCCGGAGTCGCCGATTCTTATCGTAAAAAGTAAAAATTTATAAGGTGGAAAATTCGATAATAATTTTTTATTTTTATAAATGTTAAAATTAATAACGAAATATTTCTTAAATTAAAAATAGAAAGGAAAAACGATAAGAAATCAAATCATGTCAAAAAAATCAAATGAGAGTGGGCAAAGTACAAATAATTGTGATAATATATTAATTCATTCTGTTCCCAGTACTCATGAAACTTTAACTCAGCCGGAAACTATTGAAGAATTTGCATTGCACAAATCCATTTTTAATGGGAACTATAAGAAGGTTTCAGAGTTATTGCAACATCCACCGCCTAACTGGAATATTGAGGAAGAAATCGGTCGAAAAGATAAGCATGGCAATACGCCCTTACATTTAGCTGTCATGCTTGGTCGTAAGCAATGTATACATGCATTACTAGCACATAATGCTCCAGTTAAAATAAAAAATAACGACGGTTGGTCACCACTTGCTGAAGCGATAAGTTACGGCGATCGGCAGACTATATCAGCAGTGTTAAGAAAATTAAAACAGCAATCACGTCATCATATGGAAGCACGACGTTCTAATTTAGTTCGAGCGCTATATGAAATAAAAGACTTTTATATGGAACTTAAATGGGACTTTGCATCTTGGGTGCCACTAGTATCGCGCATGCTACCATCAGATATCTGTCGAATACATAAATCTGGTGCGTCTTTACGTTTAGATACAACACTAGTTGATTTTAATGATATGCGTTGGGAACGTGGTGATATATCTTTTATTTTTCGAGGTGATAAGCCGCCGCATGAATCTTTAACTGTCTTAGATAATGAATATGAATGCTATCAAAATGTGCGTTATGAAGATGCTGATATCGAAGACGAAGTAGATGTACTTATGTCGACAGATATCTTAGCCGCTCAAATGTCGACAAAAACAATTAATTTTTCTCGCGCTCAATCTGGTTGGATTTTTCGTGAAGACAGGAAGGAACTAGTTAGCGGTCAGTATCAGTGTGATTTATACGCTATACAAGGCTTAGTTTTAAAACAGCGGAAAAGAAGAGAACATTTGTCAAATGATGACTTACAAAAAAATCGTGCATTAGTGGATTCTATAACACGTGGTCGACGTGCAAGTTTGAGTAATGGCTCAATTGATTCCAATGTTTCTATAGACTTACCTCGTCGATGTTCTTTGCAACCACCACCTGTTCCAAATTTAACGTGGGAACAATATATTTCTGCTGATAAAGGGAACTGTCCACAACTTGGTCGTACACCTGTGCACAAACAATCTAATAAGACCCTTAGAGCAACTGTTGCTATGAGTAAAGATTTTCCGCTTAGTGTAGAAATGCTATTAAATGTCTTAGAAGTTATAGCACCTTTTAAGCATATTAATAAATTGCGTGAATTTATAACCATTAAATTACCATCTGGGTTTCCAGTAAAAGTAGAAATACCAGTTTTACACACAGTAACAGCAAAAATTACTTTTCAAAAATTTGAATTTCGTGACAATATACCAGAAACATATTTTGAAGTACCATCTCACTATGTAGAGGATTCACGGCGTTTTCCAGAGTTATGACCAGTACAACAAGATACTGTAGATCTCAATCGCAATTCTACTGATTCCTCAACTACACAATAAGTTTTAAGTCACATATTATGTTATACATATTTCTATGAATATCAGGTAAACAAATTCACAGCTAAAATGAGCCTATTATAATCGCTACTACTATCTTCTAAGCATTCGTATTTACGTTTTCGCTTGCGATTTAACAATGATCATAGTTTTAGTTTATAATATTAATAAATCATTAAGAGAAAAATTAAGTTAAATTTAAAAAATTCAATATTAAGAACCAACGCTAATAATAACAACCTATTAAACATTTATACAACTTATCAGACTGCGTCGTATGCAAACTATTGCACTACTGATGAAAGTTAATAAATTATAATTTTTATAACCTAAAATCAAATTTGAACATAGTACCATATACTTATGTTATAAGTACATAATTGACAAATATTATTCAGTGTAAATAAATCATTTTCAAACATTAATCACTTAAATATCTCTGCCCAATTTGACCGTTTGTACGTGATTGAGACGTTTGAGCCTCATAGCATTTGTCAAGGATCGTCTCTCTGGATTACAAATAATTAATTTATATACTACAATAATTGATAACTGTATTTGTTCCAGCTGTTACGAGTAACTTCATATCCATAAAATAGACATCCATATCCACTTTAAAATATTATTAATTTAGTTTGTAAGTAATATTAAAAATGTCTATGTAATGTGAAATGTTGATATGTGTAGAAATTAAAATTGCAAAATGACTTGATAAAAATGAAGTATTCTGTATATTGTACCGTCTAATCAATTATAAGAGTTATTGTTGTAATCATTTATAAACATAAACTGTGTATTGTATGTAAATGTTTAACATTATTGTTTATTATGCCACTTAAGTTCTTGTTTATGATTGTTTCTTTTTGTAAATTATAAGATATAAGTTAAACTAACTCTATGGTGGTTAATTAAGTTCTATACTAGATTTATAAATGTATATAATTTACTGTGATTTCAAAATATTTTTGTCTTAATATTTAAAAAAAAATTAAATGTATTATTACTTTAAACGAAATACAATTAATAAACTGTATCGTATCTGTAAAATTAGTCACAATTGTTATTTGCTAAAAAAACTAGAAAAATAACAAATACTTTTTACATTTAAAAGTTAAAGTGTATATATATTTATATACCAAATTACTTTAGATAGAAATGGTCCAGATTTATTTCAACTGCCCACCATAGTTTGTTCATTGCAATAATTAAAGACACTTAGAAAAAAAAAACAACTATCATTTTAGCTTATAAATTATAAATAATATTTATTTATTGAATTTGTGTAGTGTTTAATTATATAAAAATATATGAAAAAAAAAATTTATCAGATTTTGTCTACTTTGCGTTTTCAAGATTAAGGTAACACAATAATTTCACTATACAGAACTTATCTCATTCTTTCTAAATTAAAATTTAACTTAATATGTTAATTACGAAACAAATGTTTAATTCACGAATAAAAAAAAAGCCATCAACTAGAAAATACATGATAACTTAATTTGGAATATATACATATGAATATATACATATATATTCATTAATATTTATGATTCCACAATTTCAACAAGTTAATTATTTTGCTTTATACATAAACTTTAATATAAAACAAATGACTTTATACAAATGGAAGTAATGTTTTGAGTACATTTTATAATGTCAGTATTTAAAATAACGGAAAATAAATGAAGTTTCTCTTATTTAATATTGATTCTATTTTTCAAAAAAAAATTTTCGTATAAATTATCTTATAAAATTTAATCTTATTTTTCTTAATATTATGATAATTTTTTGCTATTTACAAACATTAAGCACAATTAGTTACATAATTCATTTTTTTAAGAGTTTCAAATAATTCGATTATGTCGTCATCTAAAAATTTTATTACTATATCTTCGTAGTCAACAACTACTTCAGCATCTAAATTATGATTTAAAATTTTATTTTTCAACAGATGAAGGCCGTCAGCGCGTTCTTCTTCCGTTTCAGTGATATCGGTTACATGTGCCATTTTACAAAGTATAGCTCGGTACGGCAACCGTGCAATACTGGATTCACAAGCTGATAAATTTTCTAAGGTAACAGTCTCAGTGTTACCATAATCTACATAAAATACTTTTACAACATTTTGAAGTGCATCTTCATCAACAACTTTACCGCGGTACCAATATCCATCATCATCGTATCTTGCGAGTACCATATCATGCAAATGTGGAAGTTTGTTTAAAGGCCTCCAAATTTCTTTATCAGTCCAAATATGCGTATCATTTGGTTTGTCGCTTACTATAGTGCAGTACATTTGATCGAGCCTTGTTATATAAGTAGGTTGTACACATATCACAGCATTCTTCAAAAATCTCTTCTCATTGTAATTTATAACATTAGACGTTATTTGCATGTCTTTTGTTGTACCATTTACTGGTTTTGGTTTGTGTTCCTTGGTACAATGTTTACCTTTAAAACAACCTCCTGTTTTAGGATCATAAAACTCACATAACTTTATATCATCTTTAGGTATGTAGCCCATTATGGCTTTTAAAGCATTTGTTGTTGTAGGTTCTTTAAAATATGAACTCATATCATCATATTGATTATTTTCTTCAGGAACAGTTCTCCAACCGTTGGTTGTTACTGTTGCTTTACTTATCTGCATATGGCCAAAACGGTTTGGTGTAACTGGCCCATTTGAACTCGTTATACAATCGTAAAAATATAAATATAAAATGTCATTTTCAATACATTTTACACGAAAATGAACTATATTTGTAACAAGATTTTCTATTTTTTTTTGTAATTCAATATAGTTTTTCTTTTCTGAACATAGTTTGGAAAAAATGGCTTGGGCTGGTACTGCTTTATACTTCTCATCTAACTGATAAAAAACAGTTGATTCGGTAATGTCTACTTTGTCGCCGTAGTCAAGTAATAGCGCTTTTCGATAGTTTGAAGTATTCAGAGAATCAAGTTTCGTAAAAATAGCTCGTATCATCACATTATCTATTTCTAACCCAAATATAACATTGTACGAAGGTTGAGTCTTATATTTTATTAAATCTCTTTTTTTGGCAAGTTCTTCTAAAAGTGGCACATCTGTTGAACCAGGATCCATTATATAAAAACTTAAATCTTCCAGATTTTCAATATGTGAAATGTAACCAGCTATAATTGAACCTTCCATATACATTTTTTTATCTACACATAAGTAAGGGCTACCTATGTTATTGTTCGTATTGTTATCAATCGTTTCTGTTTCGATGTTAATGGCATTGGCTTTAACCGTTTCATGACTATGGAACGCAATTGCTTTTAGTTTAGAAGCAACCACTGCCTTTTCACGACAATGCGCGTCTCTTTTGTAGTAATATTGTATATATTCACGAACCTCCGACAATTTTAATTTAAACTTAACATTGGCTTTTCTTGAAGCATTCATTATTTCCGTGATAGTTGTTACACATTTGTCGTAAATTGTGAGTGATTCTTCACAATACTCATTGTAGTTGTATTTATTTTCATTAAAACTATTTAATAGCATTTTGGTTGCTTCCACGGTATTATTTAAATTCGTCTGCAATTGGTTTAGTTCCTGCAAGCACAAATTTTGCATTTGTTGGAAATGCGTAAATTCATTTGCCATGATAGAAGAGTTCTTATCCAGAATTTCGTAATTATTTATTTTGCTTTCCTTTAAACGTACTAAAAATTTTAAAATATTATTTTTTTCAAAATAATGCCAGCGTTCGGCGGGATATGAGTACCAATTGTATTTAGTCCCAACTTTAGTCTTAAATATATAGTATATATTATAATATATAGTATATATTTATTTAAAATATTCAGAATTTACGATATTTAACTGTAAATTTTCGTTTCAGCACATTTACACCGTTTTTTTCCGCACTTTTCAACAAATCTTTTCCACTTGTTGTCAAAACTGCTTTAACGTCAAATTTCTTTTGTAGAGCTGACAACTCATGTTTTTTTTTTTAAGTGTCGAATTTCAAAGGTGGCTATTAATTTAACAGAGTTGCCAAATATTGTCATTTATAACTTAATTTTTTAGCAAAATTTTTAAAATAAATTTCTATAGGCAATTTAATATTAAAAATATAGTTGCTTACAAACATATGAATTAAATGTTTTCATTATAAAATTAGGATGTATTATTTATAAGAACTAAATTTTAGTATTTTTTCTTAATGGATCAAGAATCAGTTTTGTCACACAACTTTGTCACTTACCGAATTTACTGAATATAATATAAAAGTTGTTAACTAAATAAGTTAAAGCAATTACAATTTTATATAAACTTGTTTACATTAAATATTAAGTAAACTAATAAAAATATATATATTTGATCATTTAATAGGAAGAAATGTAGTCTAACTATACTTGTAAAATATTATAATTAATAATAAATAAAAATATTGTTTTAAGATAATAAATTTATTAGAGCATTAATTTTAGTAAAAAAATATTTTTGGAAAGTATTGCATAAAAAATTTAAACTTAAAAACTTCGTTTTTGCATAAACGCTCTTAAAAATGATTTTATTTTTATGTAATTTTAAAATTAGTGTAAATATAGCATACGTACTACAAATAATACTGCTAAACAATTTTTAGTGGTATAATTACTGAAACAAGTTAATCACACTGGTGTAAGCGTAATATGTAATGCTTGATAATATAACAATATATTTTACTTTACAATCAAAGGCCATGTTATGCAGAGCGTTGCAGGCAAGGCAAAATTGGCCCTTTCGGGATATGCCGAAAATATTTGTTATGTAGACTGTCACATCAAATTGTCAATTTCGTATTTTTACAGTGTTTTGGTCCTTTTTGGTTATGCCTAAATTTAAAAGAAAATGTAGATATGCTTCAAAAATTAATTTGTCCCCAAAAATAACCAAAAAGAAAAACTCATAGAGGCGGTAATAATGTTAATTTATTATTATATTATCTTATAATAATTGTTAACAGTACTTACAAAATTATACGCCTTTTCTTTAAATCGAAAACTGCAATAATTAGATTAAGTTAATTTTATTTGCATAATATAGGATTATTCAGCTGATACTTTCGGGCTTTTTTTTAAATTTTTACAAATTCAAGACAATGTAGTTTTATTTACATGACTTAATTATTTAATACTATACCGCTGTACGAACATTAAAAATATTTTGAATATATTTTCTAGTTCTGTGTAATTCGTGTCATTAGTTTGTTTATGATAAATATCGTCATCAATTTCAAAATAACTAGTGCATTTTTGTCGATTCTATTATAAGATTATATTATATAATGTTAGTAATAATACTAGATACATTATGATTTATTTAAAGGCAATGTGATTCTTTTATTAATAGTACATTCACACTGTCTTATATAGGCACTTGCTCATTTATATTAATAAGTGAACATTTACATTATGAGCTCATTTATGCAGCTGATAGAACTTTTACAAACTTCACCTAATAATCTATCACACAAAAAAATTATATATATAATTGATATTGAATCGTTTATATACATTTTATATATCAATTACATATTCAATTAATAAGAACAAAGATTTTATTAAATACAGTCAAACTTCCATAACTCGAAGTCCAATTTTGTAACAAAAATTTTTGTCTTATGGAGACTTCGAGTTAGAGAATTATTTTATTTTATTTTTTTATTTTTGAAAGATACTACAATCACATTTTAAGATATTTATTTATTTGAAATTAAATGAAGCACAGAAGTTATATTGAAATAAAATTTTGAGAATTTATTGTTTGGGACTTTAATTTTTTTCTTATTTTCAATAAAAAGAGATTCCACTTTATTCACAATCTTATAGTGATCATCAATTGTACTGTTATGTGGATTCATTCACCATATTTGTCAAATTAAGTTTTGTCTTACTTTGTATCAAGACAAATAAAAGACAAAGCGCAATATCACAGTTTTTGTTTAGGAATTTGTTCTACACACAAAGTAACGCTTCCTGTTTACATTATTTCAAGTGCATTGAAGCTAAGTTATTGTTTATGCTGATTCAGCTATGATCACTGTAGTCAAGCTGCACACCGTATTCTTTGTTTTCTTTATGAACAATGTTGCGCTTATGGTTCCTCCTATAGGAATCAACTTACATACGACAAACACCACCACACTCATCTTAAGAATGCATATCTCAGCATAATTGATTTGGTTTGGTTAGCTTTTACTTGTTTCTTCAAATTCCGTTCGAGTCAAGCCAACTTACATCGTGGTTTAAGTTCTTAATGTATGTATAACAGTACTATCATTCGTTTGCAAATATAATTTCAGAATATTGAATGAGTCTTCTACTTCATTCTTAGAAGGCTAATGAACAATTACATCCACTGAACCCTCATCATTACTTTCCGTTGCGCTAAGAATTGGATCCAATAATTTAGAGCTATACCCTTCAATAATATCGTCATCTGTAGGAAAGCTTGATCTACAAAATTTATTGTCAAGCTCAATATAATTGTTAAGTGTAGCATTGGAAGTTATTTTATTTACTTTAAACCACGCTGCCAACGACTGGCATTTGCACAAAGAACCAACATAAGAAAGAAAAATCAAACATTTGGTTTGGAAAAAGGGACTTCCCCTAACAGCAAAATGCAAAAAACAAAAATTCGACTTATAGAATACAATTTCCCATATTCCTATCGGCACGGAAAAAAGTTTTTGTTCGAGTTATAGAGAAATTCGAGTTATAAAAGTTCGAGTTATAGAAGTTTGACTGTACTTACTTTCTCAGTGCCTTTGTTGACAGCTCAGCTGTTGTGTGACACATATTTCAAATTTTGAGGATTTCCCCTGTAGGAAATTTATTTTAAGGGGTTACACTTGACATTTCTCGCCTTAAATTAGCTGATTTATTGATAATGAGCTCATTTATATGAAAGCACTTTGTATGGTAAAGCATCCTCATTACTAGCTATAATGAGCAAAACCGCCTAAATGAGACAGTGTGAACGTGTTTTAATCTGCTCTAATTGTTGTAGTACTTTGTGATTATTGAACTTTGAGATATTTTCGTTTTGTTACCACATTCGGGGAGATAAGATATGAGAAAAGAATTGTTTCCACGGTTTATAAAGAAAATTTTTTTTTAAAGATCTAAAGATAGATTTAGTATTATTGGAGTTTGTAGTAGCAAAAAATGTGTTCTGCATTAAAGTTCCGTATGTAATTATGTGAAGTTATTTCTTGGTTTCAGAAAAAAAAGTATTTTACGGGAAGTTTTATAAAAAACAAAATAAAACATTTAATAATAAATGTTAAATTAAAGGTGAATTCTTTTGCAAAAAATATTCATAATGTATAAATATTATTAGATGGAATATTGGTACACTGTGATTTTTGCGAATCATTGTGCTATTTCTGAAGAAAATCCTCTTAGTTACCTTTATCCAATTAAGATCAATGTCTTTTGGTAAGAATGCAGATAAGTCTTCACTCTACTTTTTATGGAATGTGAAGTCACGTTTTGTGATCTTAGCAATGAAAATTGTAGTGAACAGGATCGTACTGAGTTGTAAAAACCATAATTAATGACAGTTCAGATTTACTTAATCTAATAAAATTCTCCCTATATATCTTGTTTAATATTTAAAATAAATATCACCCTCTTAAACGATTTATATCGCCGTTATGATCATGAAAGTGTTTTTTTAAAATTAAAAAACCAGATTAAAGTTTTCAATTAAACTTTTTTTTAATTTCTTAGAATTTCACTTTTTTACGTTGAACTAACTTTTTTGTTTAATCGCATTGAAATAAGGATAATGCAGTAGTAATATAAAAAGTTAATTTAAAAACATTGATATTCATTTTAAATCACAATAGTTGAAAATTAACATTAAAATTCTTAATAAAAGGTTAATATTTACATATGTATAATAATTGTATACAATTTTAAAATAAATTGATTTCTTAAGCAGAGGTTCTATTAATTATGCTTGTTGTCGTTGTGCCGATAAATTGACGAAGTGCTTGAAGTTCATCTCTTAGAGCAACCACTTGCGCTCTCAAAATAGAATTTTCTTGTTCCAGCAAAGCTGCTCTAAATGCAATTCTGTCTTCACGTATTTTTCTCGCATCACGGGATTTCTTAGCAGCTTCATTATTTCGTTTCCGTCGTTCATAATATTTTTCATCCTTTTGTTCATCTGGTATGGGACGTTTCTCTCCACGTGGACGTCGGTGTATGAACGCAGAAAGCATACCGACTTGACTTAATTCTAATAAGGGAAATTCAGACCCAATTGATGGCAAATTTGTTCCTGATATATACTCGAATGCAGGTAAATTTGGATTACCTTTAAGGTAAGTGTGCGGTAGCACATGTAGATTTGTAAGTGGTAACGGCAAATGCATACCACTTCTGCACTCAGGAGATTGATTTAAAGATGATATTTGAACATTTATTTCTGATGATTGTAAGGAAGTATTTTTATTATTTGGAATTTTATGAAGTGTTTCGGGGTTATAATCCATGTGTTTCACTTTTTTTTTGTGACACAAAGAACGTTCTTTTAATGTAACTAAGACCTGGGTCTGTTACTGAAGTTTTGGTACAATAAACACATTTTGAAATTGTATAATTATTTTTATTTTAATTAATGATATTGTAATTAGTAAAAAAAATAGATTGTTATTTATCTAAATACAGTATTTGTAATTTTTTATAGTGCAAGGAAACAATTTTAAGCGTTTTAATGATTATTTTTACACAAATGTTCACTATATTATTTTAAAATTTTCTAAGTTATATGTTATAATTAACTTCTTTATCCTGATATTATGGTGGATTAATTTTGTTTTAGTGTTTCTACTTAATTTTTGTTTTAGTCTTAATGTATTTTTGTAGTATTTTTTTAAATTTAAATTTAATTATTGTATTATATTTAAAAGATTGTGATCACATTTGAGTGGGTACATTTAAATGATCCACTAAATGTATTTTTATACAGAGTAGATTATTAAAAGTAACTTTGAAAATTAAACACTTCTATCTATAGACCAAACGCACCCATAAATGTTGACTAACTGAAATTTTCTAACTTGTCCCATTTTATTACACTCACGTAAGAAACTACTTACTTGGTAGTAAAGTTAGAAAATAATAAAGGAAGCAATATTACTGGCTAAAATAATAATTATTACTTTCATAGACATAAAAATACTATTTCGATAATTTAACGAAGGATAATAACCCACAACAATTACGTCTAAAATGTATATTCCTAACTGGATGGGGTGGTGCTCAACAACTTATGTAGTACCATTGATTATTTTTATTTTATTATGGATGTGATTCAACCAATCACGCAATGTTGACGAAAATGTATAATACTATTTGCGGACAGACATTTATTTTACCATGCCATTATGACTGGTTACACTGGCAATTACCTCACCGAGCTCAACCTCATTCGGTATAACTTTTGTGGAACTTTGGTAAGTAGCGGAATGTTACATATTCGTATTTCCTCACTAAACAATACTGTATTACATAGGTTTACATAGGTATTTTGATTTTTTTTTTCTATTTCAACATTTTGCTAGCAGGGTTGATTACAACTTTATTTTGAGAGTTTAGACTGAAGTTCTATTGATTCACAGGCTTCACAATAAAAGTTAGTAAGGTAAAAATTTATATCGATTGGGAGGGCCAAAAAGTCATAAGCCAATCAAAATTAAGTTTTGTTATGGTTCTACTTGTTTTTAAAAATTTTATTTTAATAGTTTAATATAATTTTATAGCAATTAATATTAATTAAATGATATATTTACATCAATAAATTTTATTTGTTTTGTTTATACTTTCATAAATCACTTCGATGGCAAGTTTAATTAGACATATGAACACATATGAATGTATGTTTACTTATCAATTTATATATTATTTAATGCTACGTATAATTTTTGATCATTACAATGTCCAAAATAATTTTAAAATAGTATTTTGATTTTTTCAATACCTACAATAACAATGTTTATTTATTTGTTTTGTAACGTTAAATGTATTTTAAAGCAAAACCAAAAAAATTATATGTTCATATCTCCTTTTCGGGTATGTGGATTTTAGAACATCTAGAAATTAATAATCAAATAACTGTAAATACTTATAACAAAATACTAAGGATATTGCTAAATGATCAACGGAACATAAGAAATAAGGATATATACAAAGGTCTAGTATTATTATTATTGTGCCCTCTTCTGTAAATCTCTTTCGAGTAAGTCTCTTAGCCCTGTTGCGACAATAAAAAGTAGTATAGAACCTACTTAACAGAGTTTTATTGCTTCTTCCCTAGGAATATACATTCCCAGGAGCTTAGTCCGTATGTGCATTAGCGCAGAGCATTCTAACAAAAGGTCTAGTAATAGAAATAGAAAAAAAATAAAGAGATACACAATAACAATACACATTTAACAAAATATGTAAACATATTATGTATATATATAGTCTACACTAATAAACGTTTAAAATCAATCTAATGTACTAAAAAAGGCAGACACATTGACTTAAGAGCAATTACAGTTCAATAAAATAATGATCTTATAGATCAATAAAATAATGATTTTACAGATCAATAAAATAATGATTACAGATAAATAAAATAATGATCTTACAGATCCATAAAATAATGATGTCTGATATCAACCGTAGAAGCTGAATGCCAATGAAAAAATACAGAAATCTAATGCAGTCAGTGAGATATCAGAGGCTCTACCAATATTAGCAAAAAAACCTTTGCAGGAAACAAATAATCTCCAAAATTAATATACTAATGTTATGGTTGAGTAGTACAGATATTAATCAATAAATCAGAAAATTTATCACTAATATAACACCAAAGAAAGAATGTTATCTAACATAATAATAATGTAAGTATGTACCATGAGAAAACTTCTAGGAAAAATTTTCAAAATTTTTAAAAAAACGTGCATTCAAGGGAACGTGTTTTGGGAAATTTATCATCCTAGTGTATCAAACTATTAACGAATTCCAAAATATAAGGCAACTAAATAATAAACCGGTAAACAGTCTATTGATTTATTTAAATTAGTTTGCAAAACAATAATATAATCAAAATACATACATAGTAAATGCTAATGCAATAGTTTATATCGTAGTTTGAATCAGGATCCCAATTAATTTTTTTCCATTGATAGTCTGTCTTAAAAATAATAAGTTTGATCTTTTTTTTTAGAATGTATTTCCTAAAACAATTTTTTTTTTGATTAATATGAGCTATCTTATTTTAACTAAAATAAACAATGCAGGAATACTCAATATCATCTAAGGGTCCTAAATTATGCTGGCTACATCAAATAAAACTGGTTACGATACATTTTAATATTCCTTATTTGTATGATTCGTAATTTACTGTACGTTCGTGATCATTTTTTTTCTTAATTCAAAGAAAAAAAAAATAAATATATATAAAATATAAATATATAAAATAAAATATAAAATAAATATACGAATATTCTCTAAAACTACTGATGATGAGTACTTGGCAATACTCGAGACATCATTGTATGGTCACACAAATTTTAATAAATTAACTAAAATTTTTGTCTTTGTTTTTTCTTTGCTATTCGAATCCATCTAACTTAAAAAAAAAACTGCTTTTTTAGCAGAAGTCGACAACAAAGTATTCCCATCAAAAACTGCTAGTTTGCAGTTTAAACTTTAAGAATGATTTGCTATTCACGTCTGTTTGTGATATGGATCATATGTCACTCAACCATTACAGCGATCAGAATTGTCAAACGTTATTAAGTAAATAAATAAATTTAGCTGCCAGATCAATTATTCATTCTTTGAGTACCGTTCATTCTAAAAAAGCAACTTCAAAAAAAAAAGGTAAGGGCTATATGAAGGGAAGTAATGTATATATATAGAAATATACTTAAAAAAATGTCAATACAGCAAAAAAAAATATTTTTTTATCAAGACAATGTACAACTGTTAATAGACGTTGGATTCCACAGTAGTAGTACGCATTACATTATAAATTAATTTTTTAATTTTCCATATATCTTAGATTTGGTACATAGCAATTATTACGTGTTCGCAGGTCTTAGAAGAGAGTTTTTAGTTGGAGATAAATTGTTCTACAGAAGAGACATAGAAATGTAAAGTAGAACAGGATAGCTATTGTATAGCTGTTAAGGAAATTGTCATAGATAAATAAAGTATCCGTTTATTGAGTAATATGTTATTTTCATTGTATTAACATACTATTGATACTGTTCAGATGAATATAAAAGTAATATAATATTTGCTATAGTAATTATAACACACGCTATTCATTTCAATTGTATTTTAAACAATAGTTTATAAACAAACTAAAAAATGGTTTTTTTTATTAAAAATGTTTGGGTACTGTAGAATAAAAAAGTAATAAATTTAAATTATGTGAGACTAAGGTATTTATTAAATGAAGTTCATAAAATAATCTTATACTTAACACAGTTTTATTTTATTATATTTTTGGTATATTGCAAGTCATCAAAACAGAAAACCATTCTCTATATAATTTATTAAAGTTGTTAACATGGATATTGAATTTATTCAAATATATTTATGTTTCAATGAAATATTCAATGAAAAAAAAAACATATTAACCAATTACACTTTAAGGTAAAATTATGCAGGGTAAAAATTTGGCAGCAAACTTCAATAAAGGGAAATAGCCTAGATATTTTGATATTTTTTGATTAATTAATGGTTTAATTCCCATTATAACTAAAATACAATTCGCATTATCTTCGAGCAGTCAAATGAATTTAGAGGCACCATCTATGTGGCATACCTGGATTTCAAAAAAGTATTTAACAGTTTAAACCGACCATACGCATCACTCTCCAAAAAAGGTAAAAAATTATAAACCTTCTGAGGAACCTGTACTAAGACTACTACGTGTCGCGTGATCCACAGAAACTATATATATATATATATATATAATCTGAACGGTAGAGAATTTAATACATCTGAAGGTGATTGTTCTTTGTGTAATCGTCATGAAATAGAAAATATATGTCATATTATTGGTGTATGTCCAATTTTCAGAGAACAAATTTTTTTTGATAAAGCACTTCCGTCTGAAGAAGAAATTAAAGTCTTATTAAACGGTAGCAAAATTTATAAACTTTATAAATTTATGAAAAATGTTTTAAGTTGGAGAAGATTAATTATTGATGAATTTATATAAATAATAATGTTAATATTATGCACCTCCCTTTGTATGCCTTTTGTATTGTACAAATATGTTATTATCAATTTAGATTTTAAGTAAAATTCTATAATTTTTTGTAAGTGCTGTATGAATTTCTTTTGAATCAATAAATAATAATAATAAAATATATATATATATTAAGTTGAATTAATGTACCTTGGTAAATTAAGACGAATGACATCCTCAGGAACCTCAAAATTGAATACATGAAAAAATTTACAAAAACTGACACGCTTACCGACACCGCGTTATCGAAGCTCAGAATGGTTACAGGCTCCTCGGGGAGGTAGGCAGATATGAAGACAATTATTGCTTAGTGTAATGAAGTGATAAACAATAAGACAGCCAAGGCGTAATGGGATTATGAAGAAACCTTACAGTTAATAGAGAGTAAAAGTGCTCAAGTGCACTGACTCAACTAGCCTCAACATAATAAATAAAAGATAATATATTATTAGACTAGTTAGTAGTTCCCTTTTGTAATATTATTTCTTTTAATAATATTATAATTTCTTTATTATTATCTTTAAACAAAAAGGTTTCAGTTTGAGTTTTATTTTTATTACAGTAATATTAGTATTGTACTGTTTATAGCAATAGAAAATAAAATAAGTATATTACAGATAAATAGTAAAAATAAAGGAGAGAATGGTTTACTGTAAAAAATCTACTTCCTTTGTGCTAAAACTTACGCTAGTCGAACAAAGTGTATTTCTTCTTCTTATTATTAGTCTTCTAATATAAGACTAAGAAAATATATAATTATTTTAATTTTATACGTATGAAGTAAAAAAATGATTTATTTTATATATAATAAAATATGTAAATATTGCACCTTTTCTTCCTCTTTATTTATTTAACTGATTCATAGAGGGTGCAATTGGTAAGCCAATTATGCTCATTCAAAACTAAGCATGTAGTAATATTTATGGTATAAGTATTAGGTACACGTCCAACAACTTGAATAATTAATTATAGATTTTTGTTATAACTAAATTAAAAGAAATACATATTCATTATTGTTTGTGTAAATTTTGTGTCTCCCACAAAGAAACCAGCTAATTTTCCTTATTGATTACAAACCACAATAACCACAAAATCATGGTAGAAGCAAAGACAGTGTACCTATAATATACATTGTCTTTGGTAGAAGTATGAAGTTCAATTGGTGTTAACTCAAAAGGACACAACGTCAAATACTACAAAAATAGTATGAAGACTTTAAAAAGAGTTTTTTATAATTTAAGGAAACGACAACATAATAAACATTTATTAAATAAATTTACTAAAAAAAAAATTAAGTTATTCAATATTATACACTTGTCCCGTAAGGGAATGAAAAACTTATAATTAAAGAAGAGTTAAGTAGTTTGAAATAAAAATTGTTCAAAAATTTTTTTGTTCAGGTTAATTTAATATTTAATTGTTATCAAAATTGTTAATGGAAGTTTTATACTTATACCTATATTGCAGTTATGTATTATTATTTTGGGCTAAAACCATTCTTCGGTCTTTCATGGAGCTTTTTTAAACTTAACATTAGTGAATGGCTGGAAAGAGCAGCTCAGATTTTTTGGGATAATGTAATTGCCTGCAGACAAGCTAAAGAATTCATGTCGAATCGATCAAAAGCCAGAACTAAGGAGCTTCTAATGCTGAATAGAAATGGCATCGACTTATCACAGGGCTTCTCACTGGACATTGCGGAGTAAATAAGCATCTATCGAACCTAGGTATTACAAGATACGATGGAAACAGCAGAACACATTCTGTGTCACAGACTTCAGTACTTATCACCTGCCTATCCACTTATAACGGAATTAGGCAACATCTCTCCAAAGGATATAATGGAACTCTGGGTATGTCACAACTATCCTCAAAGGATGCAGTGACGTGGTGACAAGTTCTCAACCTGTTAAAATCTATGTATATATGTTTTTAATAGGATTTATTTAAGATTGTATTCTGTTTATTGACAGGATCTTGTGAAGAGGTGACGTAGTTTGGATTTCACAAAATTAAAGATTATGGCGTAAAAATTTTAAAGAAAAAAAATGTATACCATTACCTTTTTGTCACCTAAAATTATAGGTTATAATATAGCATAATTTTTCATTTTTATACTTAAAATATATTATAATCTACTAAAATTTTATTTTATTAATTATAATTGATAAAACTTTTCTATTCTTACTAAGGTTTGGTGAGGACGTGATCCATTGGCCAAGTGACGCTTTGTGATATAATTCAAACACACAACACACAGTAGTTAAAACTTTTCTTTAACTAAATACACTTTTTACTCTAATCGAGTTGTGCTGCTAATAAGACAAGACCTTAGGAAGTGCACATATGATTTATATACATAATGTATATAAGTAGAATATACATTATTTTACTTTGATCTTTTAGGAGTAGATATCTACTTTTAAACATTTTAATTATTTAAGCTTTTTACGAATTCCTTTCTACTATATATGCAAACTTTCTCTATATATAAATATTTATGTACTTCACGGAACTATTATTTATTATTGAGGTTAGATTAATCTGATTATCTATAAGCCAGCTAAGCCGCGCATAGAACCATTGCTGTTTAGTGATACCAATTTTAGTCATACCTTTATATAGATTTTGCAGCATACATTTTTGCTACTTTAACGGGAGCTTAAGTCTCTATTCCTGAGACAGAGCCACCAAGCATTTGTTTAAGATTTTGAAAGCGTGTTTCTAGAACAGACCTTAGATAGGATTGAATCCAAATTCTGAGTGCTGTAGTACCAGAGGTACGCCATATAATCATATATGACTTGTATTCAGTGAAAATGTTTAATATATCCATAGTTTATCTAATCGGTGCATAACATTTGATTTTTTATAATATAAATTACCATTTATTCTATGTAAATTAATTTTTCATATATCATAAGCCAGTCAGAAAAAAGTTTTAATATAATCAAACTTTCTTATGTTTCCAGTTTATTTGAAAAATGAGTAATTCACAAAATATAACAGCCCAAAAGAGACAGTTTTCCTTGTTGATTTAAGTATAGTTTTCGGAACTACTTGTTGATAGAAGGGAAGTACAACTCATATTCTGCATCTCTGTTATCTTCATCCAAGCTGAGTTTAGTTGTCGTTGTGAGCGCGCTTGAGCGAGTTTAGCGAATGGCCCAAGTGTACGATAACTATGATTAATACAGCGCACAAATCCAGCAGCGCTCAATTCCTTCAATGCTACCCTTACCTGACCATTTATATCACCGCATGCAAAACATCTATTCAATTAAATGAATTTAATAGGATAAATAAATCTTAATAAATCAAATATATGAATACGTACTCTTTTTCTAACATTTCAACGATATGCTTTTCTTTCAGACCTTTGAAGTAAGCTGGGTGATCCTGCAGAATTCGAATAACGTCCAAAACATATAGTGGTATATGCAGATGGTACTCATTAGCGCGAATGACACAAGTCGAAGACGCAGAGTTGGTTATTTTTATGTCCATTTTTTGCTACTGCAAATTGTGTATGTGAATTTTTTTTATAAGATATAAGTTTTTTAACGATTTGAAATATTTTTATTTTATATTAATGTCTACATATTTTATTAAAATTTGACATATTTTATGTTATTTTTGTGATAATGAACAAGTTTTATAAAATTTTTGATGATAGAAATTTTTGATGAGAAGTTTTCTAGAGAAACACATAATTCTAGTGGTATGTTTATTATTCTCTAGATAAGTTATTCTTTATGATGTTATTTTTATATATATTGTCGGCACTTTATTATTGCTAAAACTCTGATTGTGTCAAGTGCTGTTGTAATGCATACATTTCAGTTTAGTTGAGCACAAATTTTTCAGTTGCATATGTTAAATGGTAATTATGCGTTTATTTAATTAAGAATAAATTTAAAATACCCCAACTAAGTTTGTTATCAATTTCAAGTGCGCACAAATAGAGTTGTGCACTCCCCGAAACATACTTTTCCTCACATCGGTTATATTTTCCAAAATGTTATCTCTAAACTTCTGCAGATACGCTAAACTCAAAAATTTACTTTGAAGATGTTAACTGCAGAATTAATCAATCTGTTCTGTTCAAAAGTGATATTTAAATCTATTAAGGTACGAAATCCTTCACTTCTAGCGCTTCTAGAATTTTATAATTTGTGACAGCACCAAAAATTACCCTCAGTGTTACCAATAGCTATACTAAACGTTTTTCCAGTTAGCCTTTCTATTACTATTTCTTATATTTTAATTCCAACTATGGGAGCCAAACACCCCATATCTATTTGGAATAATTTAGTAGCAGGCTTTATGGTAAGCGGCAGGGCCTCACTGTAGTACAGTGACCTGTAAGCCATATCAGCACTGGAAGGTCACCTTATTTCATGATGACCGGAGCCTATACATGTTCAATTATATGGCATTGTTAGACTTTCGGAATCAGTGGATAAATTTGTTAAAGATGGTTAAAACCGCTCAAGAAAAAAATTAAAATTAAATTGTAAAATTCAGACTTATATCTGAATTTGAAAAGTTATAACGACTATTTTTCATAAGTTATAACATAGGTATTTTGTTGAAGATGAAAAAAACTAGATGATTTTAATATATTTTTAACTTTTAATATTTTTTTTCCATCGCATATGGTTAGTTTGATCTTATTATCACTGTATAATAAACTTTGATATTATTTTATTATTAAGCTAATAAAGTAACAAATAACGAAACAAAAGATATACTATATTTTGGTATGTCATAAACCATTAAGGGTTGCATATTATGTTAGGTTTCTTCCTTTGATTCACAAAAAATTGAACCGCCTTGTTTTTTTTCAAACTTGTCCTAATGTCATCTAATTAAAGGTGACATTAACAAGGTTCTTAGTAGTTATTAGTAATGGTAATTGTTATTTGTTTTTTCCGTGTATACATAAGATAATTAAACCTTTTATTATATATGTAAATAATTTTTTTTTATTTAGCATTGATTTTACACTAATAATAAACATGTTCACATTACCTCTAAATAAACAACAAAGAATACAAACATATTTTGTATAGTTAGTACTGGTTTATAATAAATAATAGCATTTCTTTCGTAAATGGAAGAAACATTGATTTCTTTAATATAATTTTCTTTTATATTCTTAATACTGTATCACAAGACTCGGTAGCAGTGGCGTACCCAGCTGTGTTTCAAGGGGATTATATTATAAAATATTTTTTGCCAAAGTTCACTAAATGAATTCTAGTAACAGTTAAAAGATTGTGTCAAAAGGGGGAAATACTAGAAAATATTTTACGTAAAAATTTTTTTACAGTTCAATAAGTTAATTACAACAACAGTTGTACTTAGAGGGGGTGAATATACAGGAACATATTTGTTGTTGAAATTTTTTGCAGTTCTGTAAGTTAACTATAATAGAGTTAGCTGCCGTTCATAGATTTATATATATACACATCCATATACAATAGATATACGCTTATCTTAATCCTTTAAACAGACATTAAAATGTCTGTTACAGAGATATTCGGATTGGGGAGTCGAATTTAAAATCCTTAAGAGTTTGTAGTAGTAGTAGTAAGTAAGTTCTTTTATTTATGATTATTATATTATAACATATTAACAGTAATTTTAACAGATTTAAGATTGCATATAAGATGAACAATTAAGTATAGAATATAATGTAATACAATAATTGATATAACTTGTAACTTATACGGGAAAAACAGTAACTATAAAAGTTTGTATATATGTTCATATTTTTATTTTAACAAAAGAAACTGAATAAAAACTGAACAATAATCCACTACTTATTAAATTAATCCGTAATGAAATTCATAACTTAATCATAATTAAATAGTGAAAACCGAAATAATGTCTATAACTAAAATATATTTGATTTTTGTTTATTTGTTTTGTTTAATTAAATTATGAAATTCATTATGGATTCATTTAAAAAGCAGTGCGTAAAATCTATATTCATATACCTTCTGTTCAAAAAGTACTCGGATTTTGTAAATAAAACACACAAATTTAAATTTTATTCCAAATTTATTTTATCTCTTTCAAAATATGCTCATTCTAAAGCGATACACATATGCCAACGCTTAACCTATCTTACATACACTTTTCGTAGGCCCGTAAAGGTATGGCTTTTAGTTCCTTCAGCGAATTCTCTTCTACCGATTCAATCGACTCAAAACGCTTACCACGAAGCGGCAATTTGATTTTCGGGAACAGGAAAAAGCAAGAAGAATTTTCAATAGTAAAAATCGCTAAATGCACTTGAGGTAGTCTCACAATAACAGCTGCTGTAAACAAACTAATTGACAGATGGCGCTCAAATTTGTATTTGCAAGAAATGGCAAGAAAGGGTGTACCAACATAACAAAATATTTTTGAAATAGGTCTATTATTTAAGGAGTAGTTAACAAACAACAAAATCCGGATAATTTTTGAGCAGAAGGTACACAAATTACCCATAAATGTGATTTATTTCATTCGACTATCGAGCAGACATGTTCATCATGTGTAATCTGGATTAGAGAATTAGTAATCGATCGAAATCGAGTAATCGACCAGGCAATCTGAATTACCGGAGTTTAAGACGAGCGGAGACCCACTTTATATACAATATTTATATATAGAAAGTAATGCTGTTATTGATATTATTTTTAAGAGGGTCATTAAAATATGTTTAGCTTAAAAACCAAAACTAACTACTCTATCATATCTTTTTCATAGTTCATACGTCAATGAAGTTAAATAACCACAAGGATTTTTATTATATAAAGTCCACATTTGAAGAAATCCACATGATTATAGTAACTTGCAATCTCGAAAGCTTAATTACAATCTGACGTTAAGTTGACTGAATAGTTGACAGAATACTCAGAGATAATAGATTTTAGCTCAACAAAAATATTGTATCTGAAACAAATGGATGTTTTGGGGCTAAGATAAAATTATTGTGCAAGAAAGGAATACAAAATTTGGACCAACATTTAAGTTATTATATTTTTATTACGAGAGCTAACTATATATTGATGCATAAAGGCGATATTTATAAAAAAAAGTTGTGAAAAAAAAGTAGTCTTAAGATTTGCTAAGATATGTGAAAGAAAATGTGTTCCTTAGAATTATATTCAAGTAAAGTTTTGTATAAAAATATAAGTTTATATGGACAATGAATAACACTTCTATAGCGTATAAAGTTTATTTAATCTTAAATTACTTATTAATAAACAAATATCTCTATTAAGTGAAAAAAAAGTAAAAGAGTTTGAAGACTCGGTGGATTGCTCTCATCAGTTGGTAGAACTGAGTGACATCACATCGTTTGTAACTTGGTCGTATGTTCTTTACACCGTTTTTCACCAGTGGTACCGAAATATAATATTATGTTATTATATTTGTTTTGTAAGTCGAGATGGCTTTTAGTGTTCTTTTTAGTATAAATGTAATAAAAAAAAATGTATAGTTAAGAAAACTTATTTATATTGAACATAAATAAAAAGTTAATATATAACATTAATAATTTTTATACATGTATATATATATATACATATGCTAGATACTGGCTCTAATGTCTTTATGAATAATTTATTCCAAGCACAGTAAGTACTCGTAATGGATATTAATGTAATTACGTTTTTCAAATTTGCCCATTGTTAATGTTATTGTCATTATAAACATGATATGTATTATTAATTTATGTGTACATTTATTGGTATGTGTCTTAACATATTGAACTTAATTTAACCTCAGGAGCGAAGGGCAAAGCGCTTCCTTCCTGCCAAACTCATCATTATAAGTAATTTTTGACAGACATAAATCGAGTCCTATTTGATATTTGGAAATGTGACATATGTATGAAAAATTTTATTTGCTGGTAGTTACACATGTTAATGAGTGCAAGGTATGAGGTACAATCTCTCCTTTTAACACTTAACCCTGTCTGTTTATGTATATAGTATTCAAGTTCTAAACATTTTTGGAAAAAAGGTTCACCAAGTTGGTAGCATGTGAAATTATTCCCATTATGCTGTATGTAGAAGTGTGAATATGTTTGTTTTCAAATAGCAGCATATTACAAGTTCATCACAGATAATTTATTAACAAAAATCCAATAAAATCCTTATTCGAATCTTTTTAAATCTGCCTAATTGTGTCTAACATAATTGTGTGGTGTGTTTAAACGAAGCTTCACTTCATTCATTTGGAATCATCACACTTCTGATCTGCTTTCAACGGAATTACACCTGATAATTGTATTAATATAGTGTAAAGAAAAAAAATACAAATTATACATAAATTACCAAACTATTAAATGCTATGGTACGCATTACTTACATTCATACATGCATATACTCGCATACACACTGCACCCTTAAAACATATTCTGCCTTTATACAGTCCTGACTGTCTCCTGCCTGAGACAATTGGATGAGACTTTCCAGGTGTTATTCATTGCTCTAATCGTTGCAGAATAATCTATTAGTGTCGCACTAATGTTAATATAAAGCTATAATAACAAAACAAAAGAGTAACAATGT